TAATAATATGTCAACTTTCTTCACCCCCACGTGTTCTCCTTCGCCTTCTCCTTCTTTAAAGCTTCATCTTTGTAGCCATGAAAGCTCTCTCAAGCTCTTTGCCTCGAGGCCCCTGTAAGCTCCTCTTCTTCTTTTTTTTTGGGCTTCTCCTTTTCGTTTGAATTCTTAAAGGCTCTTCTTTTGGTTATGAAGCATATATTTGCTTACTGTTTCTTGGTCTTTCTCCTCTGAATCTAACTTTTTTGGGGTTCTTCCCTCTCTCTCTTGATTTAGTTGAAATTTGACTTAATGAATGCTGACTTAATGAATGCTTATTTTTTATTCTTTTCAGTTTTGAGTATATTTTTGGTGACTGATTGTTACTTGCTCTGTTTCTGTATGATTTTAGCTCCATCTTCTTCATTTCTCTCATGGATTCTCTTGAATTTGGAGGAAGAAAGTTTATACATATTTTCTTCTTCTTGGTCTGAGTAATTTTTTTTTTTATTCGATTTTTTTTGAATTAATTGGCCACGTTAATGTTGTTACGTTCTTTTGATTGTGATTTTCCCATGTCATTTGCTCTGTTATCAATAGTTTTGAACTCGATTAACTTTTCCCCCGAATTCTTTTGAATCTGGATGAATCTGGTTTATCCATATGCGCGCATCTTCTTTGACTGTGCCAGTAAATGTGATTTTGGTTTGTCCAAGCTTTGCCTACAATAAGCATTTTGTCGCTTCCTACATTTCTAATGTCTAATTTCTCTTCGATTTGAAGAATCAGCTTCAGAAATATGATAATTCTTCTTAACAATATGCATTTTTTTTTTTCATTATCTATACTTCATTCTTGCTTTTTTTTTAGAATGCACTCTTGTTTTGCACACTTCTATGAGGTTGCTATTCCACAATAGTTTCGGTTCAATTTTTCCAAAGTTCATCTTTTCTGATTGCTGCTGAAGAAAATGAGGGATCAATGTTGACGCTCTTCTATAAATTACTAACCTCTAACCTACTTTCAGGATGTGCTTTTTTCGAGATATTGGGATCTAGAAAAATGGGGTGCACTAATTCGATTTCAAGACATATAAATGGAAAGAAGAAGCAGCTTCATGTTCCTGAAGTTGCAATCTTTGTGCCAACACTGAGAATTCCTAAAGAAATAGATTTTCAAAGAGCTCTACAAGGGACTGTAACTCCAAAATTAGTGGAAAAGTTATCGAGTCTTCGGTCTCAAATTGTGTTGATTGCAGAAGGGGGATGTCTCAAGTTTTCCAGGCCAACAAACAACATACCAGTTCTTGAAGGTGTGGTATTACTCTCTCTTTCTCTCTCTCTCTCTCTCTCATTCTCTCTCTCTCTCTCACACACACGCGTGCGCACACATACACACACACACCCACACACTCCCACATCCACACACACCCACCCACCCACCCGCCCACATAGAGTTACACTAGACCTCATGAATGTTGGGTTTAGTTGAATTCAAATATTTTTATGTGACCTGGAGGACCAATTATTTCTTTAAAAAACAAAAATAGTGTATTGGAGATACCAGTAAAAGTTTATAAATTTGTTCAATTCAACTGGTTTGCATAAGCAGGAGGATCCAGTCTTTCTGACCTTCAACGGGCTCTTGAAGAATACCTGCCTGTTGTTCTTGGTCTGACAAGAAAAGGTATTCTCTTGACTTTTGCTTGTTCTTTATTTGCAGTTACTTGCAAGTAAACTATCCTGTGATGAGAGAATTTAAATTTTGAATCTATATTTATTATTTTATTGGGAAATTTCTATCCTAGATTCTTGTTTTGGAGGCTGGAGATGCTGCCCTTCTGTTTTTGTGCCTTGACTTTTTTGGTGCAACTTGACCACTGACATATTCAATTTCCTGTTAGTTGTATATGAAAATCTTCTAGGTCATTGACTTACCTGATATAGGTTATACTTTTCTTCTGAAAATCATAAAAAATTTCATATTTCATAGTAGCCTATGGGCATAAAACTTAGGTACGTGATGCTAGAGAAAGTATGCCTTTTCCCTAAATGAGTGTTTGATATTTGTTTTGGTGATGGATCATGTGCTCAGGTTAGAGTTACCAAGGCATAATTGCATGCTGAAAATTGCAGGAGCCTAATGATATCATATCGGTTCTCTGATAGGTTGCTTTTTGTGGCAAATACTGAAACCCAGTTGTTCTTTTAGGCCTGTTCAACAAGCTCATAGTTATATCATAGAAATAGCCCTGCTTAATTTTGTGTCCTGATAAAATGTTGGCTCAAGTGGAGAAAGTCATATAGGAGAAGTCCCTTTTAATGGAATAGAGGAAAAAACAAGGTGTTATTGTTTCTAACATATGCTGTGGCAGCATTTTTGGCAATGTGGGGTTACAAAAAACATGGTCCCTCATGGATGGTGGCATACCAAACTGGGAGGCCTATCAATCTTCAAGGGTTGCAAGAGGAAACAACACTATTGCTGAAATTTTTGTGCGCCTAAATGGGGCCTTAGTGTGCCAATTTCATTTTAGCCATTGGAGTATTATGCTTTTAAGGCAGCAAGTATGTTATGTTATTTAGTTATGTCTAAATTTTACTTTTCCCTGAACTCTAGCTTCACCTCGGTTGAGTTGGGTTCATGTGTTGAGTTTCTTACATGATGACAAATATCAAATAGTGGAGAGTAAGTTCTATGGAGTGAGGTGCCTGACAGCCTAAGGAGGGAAAGTCTTTTGTCAATTGATATTTTAATCTCCTTGAAATATCGAATATCTGAAACCATGGAAACAAACTCGGTGTTTATCATGGTTGACATCTTATCTATATGCATAAAGCTCCAAGTACACCACATTGGTGTCAGGGAAATGTAACTGTATACTGTGAAATTTTTTATCAAGACCATTTATTCTATGCTATGCTGATCTACAATTTCATCCAAAACAAAGAATCATACACCTTATGCCACTTCCCAGGCAAAAGTGATAGTGGGAACAGAAAGCAGGCCTTTTTTGATGAGGATTGGAAAGGGCACCTTTGTTTTGAGTGAAATGATGGAAGGTGGAGGACCCTAACTATGGGAATTGTCAATCAATTTGAAGCTGGTGATCCTGAATATTTAATGGTGAGAGGGAATGGCAAGGAAATTACAGTAGATTTAAGAGGATTACATTTGCTGAAGAATTATTGCTCACTGTGAATTTGTTGTGATTCCCTCCCAGGTAATAGTTACATAAAGTTTGGAAAATACATCGCAATTTCTTACGCATCATAATCATCGTCTGTTTTGATGAGCAATACTAGCATAATTGATATACGTACATAAAATCTTGCACGCACACTCAGCTGCATCTATTTTTTGTAGGCATGTGTTTGCCTACCAATACTATATTTATGCTTGTGTTTTAATTTGTATCGTCATGAAACTATAAAGGATAGTTACCAAGGTGCCTGCAAAAAGTATATTGAAGACAACCGACATTAAGAAACCCTCAAGATTGTAGTAGGTTCCTGTTATTCACTTGGAAGAATGTGGATGTTTAATATTTCCATCCTTAATGCAACTAACTAAATATCTACACAGATTACAATCTTGTTGGGATGGTGAATTTCAAATGGATAAGGCAGGACAATCAGCAGGTGAGAGTAATAATTATTTCTAATTATTTATAGATATATAGGTATGAATGTTCAAATCTTAGGGTTGCAGTACTTTCCTTGTAAGTTTGAGGCTTATACTTGTGTTTTTTTAGAACTGCGTCAGATATATGAGCCACTGACATGCAATTAATGCATTTAACAGGAAACTTCAATAGAAAGCACCTGGTATGAGTTATTGTCAGTACTCCACTTAATGGCCATGGTATCTTTGTCACAAGCAAACCAGATACTTATTCCTGAAGATCCCATTGATGCTAGTGAAAGGAAGGTCTCTGAAGGTACTTTCTCTTTTGTGCGTGCATGCATGCATGCATACATGTATGTGTGTGAGTGTGTATGAGAGAGAGAGAGAGAGAGAGAGAGAGAGAGAGAGAGAGAGAGAGAGAGAGAGAGAGTAGTAGTTAGTAGTAGTACGTAACGTAACGTAACGTAACGTAACTTACGTTAGTAGTACGTACGTACGTACTACTACGTACTACTTACGTTACTTACGTTAGTTAAGTACGTACGTACGTTACGTCGGTTAGTGGTT